TATTTGTTACAATGCCGAATGCACAGAGATATAACATGTGACAGCAGATATCACCAATATGGCTCACTTGAATATGTACACATCCTGCGCTGCTAATTCGGACTCAAGATTCCGATATGAGTGTAGAGAAATGAGAACAGGTTTATGTCACTCAGTGTGCGTCAAAAGCCACTCAGAAGCTCGATTCATATCGACTGCTTTGATCTTAGTGCGGCAAAACCTCTGTTACCCAAGAATGGCGACTTGCTATTCACGATGCTGCGAGTGACCATGTGCATACTTTCCGATTATCCGAATACGATACAACATGGCGAAGTTGCTGGAGTTAGGATGTCAGGATATGACTAGAACCCGAATCCACCCCCTCTTCTCAGCTCCCCGTGGCTGGCAGCCACTGGCTGCGATCCACACCAGGTAAACAGAAGCCGACTAAAAGAGCCTTTTAGCATCAAGCTCAAGGTATGATGCGATTGCATTATGGTAACTCCTCCGCTGTGGCCGATCAGGCCGCACTGAAACTCGTCGGATCGTTTGGTGTTCTAGTCAGTATAAACCTTCTTCAAGTTAATGGCTGCCTTTAGGTTTTGACTGAGACCGCTTTGAGTCGGACGTAGGAATGGAAAAGTTTGTGGAAATCAGGTGTTGCTGGAGTAGACTCCGGCCTGATGACTTTGTAGGTCTCTGTTGGCAATCGAGACGGGCTACGACATGCGTCCCAGCGTCCGTAGCTCGACGCGCTGAGACCTAGAGGAAGTGGTGTAGCCTACACCATGTAGGTCCTCGTCAGCACTTTTCGTGCCTCAAGGAGTCACGGATGCGGCCGGGCAGTGGTAACTGGAGAAAAGCTGGACGATGCGTGAGTTGATGAGATTCCTGAGTCACTCCGGCTGAGTGACATTCGGTGCGATAACTTCCATAAGGTACACAACTGAAAGCCTCTATCTGGTTCAGAAAGGCCTCCGCCATATCTAGGCTCACATGGACATTGACAAAGCATTTGGGGTAAATCAGTCACAGACTCCCAGAAAATAACTCCCTCGTGATCAGGTCTCGGTCGTCAGGTCCGACCATGCCTGATCTCTTTACACGCTCCTGTTTACGGTATATAAGTCTTACTCTCCATTTGGTAACTCTTCTGCTTCAGGTTGGCATCGATCCCGTCACTGAAAAGGTTGAAGGACATTTCTAAGGTCGCACATGGCTGATTCTTCTGCCGGACTTTCTTCATGCTTTTGAGGAGAATGTTCCAAGTTTATCTGATCAGTTCTTGTTTGTCAGTGTCACTGATTCAGTGATGATGTATGAGGAGACTGCGATATTTTCAGCTACGATTCCGATTCATTCGAGATCAATAGGCAGTCAAATTACATTGATGCTTCTGTGGCTTTGCTTATTTCCGGCAGTGGATGGTCATGTCTAGCTGTTGATGTATCATTTCGTTCAGTTGAGGTTTCGTTAGAGACTAAGCTCAAGCAAGTGTACGAATTGGTATTGTATGAGGTGGCTCCACACATGAAGCAGTCTCGTCATCTCCTTTTTTTAAGTTTTTGTTCCAAATTGGTTGAACGACACATGTTAGGAAAATAGGCTCCTATTTGTTGACTCAGTTAGTGTGACCAAACATGATCTATGACCCCAGGACCCAAGATAAGGTCCTGAGAGGAATCGGGCTCCGGTTCCCTGTGTTGGGTCGCCTCCCACACTGTGGACCCTCAGTGTGGCGCTCTCATTTCCAATCAACTGTTCAGCCGATGACCAGATGTCGTTCCAAGTGATGTTACAAGTCTCGAGTAACGTCTTTCCCAACAGAGAATTTTCTCCGAGTGATATACCGCGCACGCAACAGAAAAATTGCGCAGATTTTCTGCCGCGCGCTGCTGTATAATATAGCCGTTTCGGCGGACGGAGATGTCGCATTTTCGTTCTAGGAAGCTCTTTGAGGAGATTGCCTTGCATGTGGTGTCTCAAGGAGGTAGTTCGACACAGGTGTTTCAACGGAAGCCACAGAGCACGCTTTAGACTTCACTAACACCAATTATGCTGATGTTCGTTCAGCCTGAGCAACAATCGTTTGCTTTGTTAGTTGACTCTAATTTTTGTCTTCTCCATGAAGGTCGTTTTCACCATCGCTGCTTTGTCTGTTGCCGTCGCCGAGTATTGTCAGGATATTTGTGATGGTTATTCTCCCTGTGCTGACTCCAAGTATGGCTCCTACTGCAAGGGGAATGGTGTCTGCTTCGGACTCTACCATAAGGATGATGGTTACTGCTTCCAGCCGACCGAACAAGACACCTGTGATGACTACACGTTGGAGCCGGTGGCTTGTCCCGAACCCACACCCACCTGTCAGGACGTCTGCAATGATATGTCTCAGTGCCGCGATTCCAAGTGGGGATCGTATTGCAAGACTTGGCAGAATCCGGCGGTTTGTTTCGGTATCATCAAGAAGGATGATGGTTCTCTTTGCTTTGCCCCCACTGATAGTGACTGCGAAGGTGAACCCTACTATTGTTAGCCTAGTTTAGGTATTCCTTAGCATCAACTATGTTGGTCGAATGTCCTTTTCTTAGTAGTCATGTAATCAATCTAGGTAAGTGGTAGATGAGTTCTCTAATCATGAGAATCTCGTTGTGTTTTATCCAAGATGTGAGTGGATTGGTCAATCAGCTCGAGGAGTGAATGGACTTACCCAGCTTTGTGAAGGTATCTACTCTCAATTAAGTGGACATTTGATAGTCGACAGCAGTAACTCGAACTTCGCACCGATATAATACACTTGAGTGAGTATATATCCTGGGCTGCTACTAAGTCGAACCCAAGATTACGATATGAGCGGAGAAATATGCTCAGCTTCCTGAATGCTGCATTCGTGTCATCTTCTCAGAATGTCGGTGACGTTTTATTGTCGGTGACTTTTGATTCAATAGTCACCGACAAGAAATCAAAGTCAGACTGAGAGCATCAACTGTGGATTTACATTATGCGAGATTCGAACTACGAATCATTTATGCATCATCTCGGGAACCGAATGATTCATTGATGTCCTCCATTTTCCGAGTTCAAGTTTTGGACAAGTGACTTTCCCGAGCTCAGATTAAAATAGCGCATCAAATTTCATTGAAAAAACCAGTTTCTTCTCAAGATAGGGAATTCAGTTTCCCATGTCCGAGTGACTTGAGTTTTCTATCCTGCTTGGAGCCATGGGGCTTCCAATCCAGAAGACACAATATGAAAGCTCGGAAGTTTGAAGTTTTAAAAATATCAAGAAAGTTATCAGAAAATAACCATCATGTGAAATAATCCGGCAAAATACAACGCAGCAAAATAAGGTAGCAGAATAGTGGCACTAGGTGAAAAGCAACTTCGAAGTTGTTACTCTCTATCTTTGATTGCTAAAGTGAATACGAGTCGTTGCTGAAATGTGAATATGACTAGCACTTTATAATGTAGGAGGTGGCATATACGCAGGAGCAAATTAGTGAAATTGTCAGGAATTTTAGCAATTGGTAAATCGACAATATTAGAAAAAAAGTGACTCGCTTCAAGTGAGTGGCGAATTGTGTTACACAGCTCCCAACCAACTCATTTGGTCCAACTGTCCAGCCTTCCGGAATGAGGGTGCGTGTCTGTTATACCGCTCACTCCGATAAGGTCTCCGCTTCGAGTGACATAGCGCGCACACCGAAGAGATATGGCATAGATCTTCCACCGCGCGCTGCTGTACAATATAACCGTTTCGGCAAACGAAAGTCACTCCAATGTTCATTGTAACGGCTGCCGTTGGATGTGACTCCGAGCCGTGTCCAACATGGATTCTAGCGTATGGCTCCCTAGCTATCGGGTCAATATTTGTGTGTTGTCCTTACTGGGAGTCCGACTCATCCGGGAAGCTCCATGCACAGGGTGCTTACAAGGCGGTACTCCAAGGAAGTACCTCAATCCAGGTGGTCCAGCTGAAGCGATAGAGCATTCCTGACACTTGAATTATACATATTCTGCTAACATTATTTTTGTCCAAGTGACATTCAGTTCCCCCTTTAGTTGACTCTAATTTTTGTCTTCTCCATGAAGGTCGCTTTCACCATCGCTGCTTTGTCCGTGGCCGTCGCCGAGTATTGTCAGGATATTTGTGATGGTTATTCTCCCTGTGCTGACTCCAAGTATGGCTCCTACTGCAAGGGCAACGGTGTCTGCTTCGGTCTCTACCATAAGGATGATGGTTACTGCTTCCAGCCGACCGAACAGGACACCTGTGATGACTACACGTTGGAGCCGGTGGCTTGTCCCGAGCCCACACACACCTGTCAGGACGTCTGCAATGATATGTCTCAGTGCCGCGATTCCAAGTGGGGATCGTATTGCAAGACTTGGCAGAATCCGGCGGTTTGTTTCGGTATCATCAAGAAGGATGATGGTTCTCTTTGCTTTGCCCCCACTGATAGTGACTGCGAAGGTGAACCCTACTATTGTTAGCCTAGTTTAGGTATTCCTTAGCATCAACTATGTTGGTCGAATGTTCTTTTGGGTAGTTGTGCAATCAATCTAGATGAGTGTTACAACCTCCATTATTCTGTTGTGTTATATATAATGAAAGAATTAGGGTTGCCCATCGGAGGGCGAAATAAGTACATCGTGAGACACTGAGTTGTTCGTATCCCTTCGTATAACTCGCACTGTTACTTATGTAACTTGTTATTGAGTTATTTTGATCACTATTGACTGACACAAACTTCGATAGTATTTTTCTCACCATGTACCATGTTGAGCAGGTAGTCAGGGAAAAGAAAAAGAGGCAAATCGTGTACGGAAGATTTGCCTGTACTTGAGCTAGTTCCATACATTGCGGGGCAGACGAGTTGGGGATGAATCATTCGACAAATTCTAACACAACACCTGGGTCTTACTCTATCAATGGTATGATGGGTCAATATACAGGGCAATTATCACGCATGATTGTAGATGTGGTGCGCTGATGCAATCAACTCGCCAGAAGCGATGGGTCATATATGGGCTTTCCGAGGAGAGCTGTTACTAATGTTGGCTGTTGGGGATTCTTCAAGGTTGGGTTGCACCATCGCCGTCTCAACGCGATTGATGTTGGTTTCGATGTCACATTCGAGCGTACGTTCTCGGTGGAGTGTCGGAACTTCGTGACGCTGAGAGTAAGCAAAATATGGCACTGAGAGCGATGATGAGCTCACCGGAATAAACACGTCCCGAGCATGTGGCAGTTTGACACGAAGCGTGGAACGTGCTGACCGCGTTGTAGATGCCCCAGGAGTGTTGTTCATGGTCTCTTGTTGCAATGGATGGACCTCCTGTTTGCCACTCCGGAATTGAAAGTCAGTCGGGACCTGCCGGAACCGAGCTGAATACTCTTAGGCTGACTAATTTATTACATTTAAAAAACTAAGAATAGAAGAGCAAGTCACTATGGGTTGTTCACACAACGTCAAGTGTGCGGCATTTTGTATCCGCAGAAGATATGCATTAGTGAAGAACGCCTTCACCTGGGGGCCAGACTTGGCGACTGCCAGATTATGCTTCAACCTACAGTGCCAGCGACTGCCAGAGGATTCACTTGGTCATTGACTCCCCAAATGAGCAACACAGGTCTCGGGTGCTCCCCTGCACGTGCGTATTCGGCCGTCATGTCGAAGAAAGGCACTCGATCCTGAACCGTCTCAAGTGAGGGTTCCGAGATAAGGCAACCTACCACTATTGCGAGGCTGCTTGAGATGCCGTCTCGCTTTACCAGGGTTTGCCAGACTACTCTTCTCCAATACATGTCCTGCCATTCGAGCTCAGCCTAAGCAGCATAACACATGCGTGTTCGAGGTAACCACTATGTGATCACTCAACCTACCTCTGTTAGAGGCTCGTCCCCTTCCGACAGGACGAATTTGTCACGAGCAAAGATGCATGAGCAAGCACAATGTTGAGCTAGTGGGATGATACACCAGGGACAGCTGTGAAGCAACCGATAACTCAGCGGTTTAACAGGGATGAACCCGGCCGGACTTAGGAGAACAAGTCGGTGGCATAGCTCGGGGTTTCTAGATAGGGAAGGAGTCAGTCTATTCTGTTCACCCTGTTGTGCTCACTTATCAACGAAGCTAATGGCCACCGCTCCTCCGAAGCTGAATCCGATCAGGCTTATGGTTAGTCCACAGTCAATAAGTTTTAAGTAATCCATGAGGAAATAGAGCTGGTCTACAAAGAAGTCCAAGTCGTAGGCAGCTCGCTGTTTGCAGCAGTATTTGCCCGCTCCTATACAGTGGGCCACAGGAGGAGCGTTGGAGAGCCCGTGCCCGTACATATCATACGTTAGAACCTGTAGAGGGATGGTTGGAAGGTTCCGGAAGCTCGACCCGACTTACCATGCGGCTTCTCGAGAGGACTTGAGCTAGATCAGAGAAGAGCATCTTCGACCCATTGAGGCCATGTAGACAAACCGCAAGCTCTTTCGTGTTATGCTCTCTGCCCAGCAGTTGATATGAGACGCAGCCGTACGGCCCTGAGGATTGACATTGTGCTCACGTAGCCTGACTGGTCCTCACCATCGACACTAGTCGTTTCGGGAAAGGGGCACTCTATGTCCCTAAAGGCTACCGGAACGCGCCTTTGTGAGTACAGCCTTGGGCCGTGGGTCGCCCTCTCTGGTTCGGGGGTAGTCGAGGAGTGCGACGAACCTCTAGTGTGGACTGCTGGTAAAGAGAGGTCTTCAGTACTCATACCAGAGTCGATCGCGCTTGGCATGTATGAGAGTACAAAGACTACCCGAGAGGCCGCTCAAGCATTCGTGGAGGAGGACGGTGAGTGGGCCGATTCAGAATGAACGCAATGACAAAAGTCAATGCTTAACAACACACGGATGGACAAAAGCGAGCTTTTGCCAGTATGGAACAACACATCCCATCACGCTGCTTCATGTCTACTGCTTGCACTTCGAGATTTTGCCCTGGGGAGCCTCGGTTGTCATCGTCAGGTCGACCACAGGGAAGGGCATGGCCTCAAAGGCCTCAGCGACCTGATCCAAACAGGCTTCCAGTTCGGCTGTGACACGGGATTCAATCTTGCCCTAGTTCCCATTTCAGCGTATAAATTCTGAACTCTCTTGAAGCCCTGAGAGGTGGCTATAGCAGCGGGCATCCATGAGCTGGTGCAGGAGTCCTCCTGAGTACACAAGTTACTCTCGATTACGTTGAGAAGTCTCTACGTCCTGACAGGCAGGGGGGTCTTCCTCAGCATCCGAATTGAAGATGTTACCACGAGCCTGGTATCTGAGAAATTGTCCGATTACGATAGGAAATGTCTGTCCGCAGTTTACTCTGGGTTCTCTCTGCACTCAGAAAGGGCATCAGAAACTCCGATGGCACCGAGGATGGTAGCGATGTCTAGCATTGTTACTAGGTTAGAAGAATGCGCGGTGAACTGCAGCGAGGCAAGGTCACAGAAGAATCAGGCCTGCAGAAGCAGGCCAACATCGATTTCGGGGGAAACCCTTGACTCGCAATACTCTTGACAAGAACTTGTTCTTTATGTTCCCACCAGCGCAATACTGGAACAATTTTGAAATCATGTGAGTAGTTGAAAAACATACTTCGTATCATGAACGACATGCCATTCATGCCGAACTCCGCCGTGTGCTTCTTCGACAGCCTCCTTAAGAGTTTCGCGTGGGTTCGAACCCCACTGCTGACATGTGTTACTACCTTGTGCGAGGGAACTCCATGAGGTCACACGCTAATATTGAAAGATCTACAACCCACGAGCCTGCCGTGTGCTTGAATAATTTCAATATCTAGTCAGTTTGGCCGAGTGGTCTAAGGCGTCAGACTCAAGTTCTGGTGGACAAATCCGCGGGGGTTCGAACCCCACTGCTGACATGTGTTACTACCTTGTGCGAGGAACTCCATGAGGCCACACGCTAATATTGGAAGATCTACAACCCACGAGTCTGCCGTGTGCTTGAAGAATTTCGATATCTAGTCAGTTTGGCCGAGTGGTCTAAGGCGCCAGACTCAAGTTCTGTTGGAGAAATCCGCGTGGGTTCGAACCCCACAGCTGACAAGGTAGTTTTACTACCTTGTGCGAGGAACTCCATGAGGCCACACGCTAATATTGGAAGATCTAAAACCCACGAGCCTGCCGTGTGCTTGAAGAATATCGATATCTCGTCAGTTTGGCCGAGTGGTCTAAGGCGCCAGACTCAAGTTCTGGTGGAGAAATCCGCGTGGGTTCGAACCCCACAGCTGACATGTGTTAATACCTTGTGCGAGGGAACTCCATGAGGTCACACGCTAATATTGGAAGATCTACAACCCACGAGCCTGCCGTGTGCTTGAAGAATATTGATATCTAGTCAGTTTGGCCGAGTGGTCTAAGGCGCCAGACTCAAGTTCTGGTGGAGAAATCCGCGTGGGTTCGAACCCCACAGCTGACATGTGTTACTACCTTGTGCGAGGGAACTCCATGAGGTCACACGGTAATATTGGAAGATCTACAACCCACGAGCCTGCCGTGTGCTTGAAGAATATCGATATCTAGTCAGTTTGGCCGAGTGGTCTAAGGCGCCAGACTCAAGTTCTGGTGGAGAAATCCGCGTGGGTTCGAACCCCACAGCTGACATGTGTTACTACCTTGTGCGAGGAACTCCATGAGGCCACACGCTAATATTGGAAGATCTACAACCCACGAGCCTGCCGTGTGCTTGAAAAATATCGATATCTCGTCAGTTTGGCCGAGTGGTCTAAGGCGCCAGACTCAAGTTCTGGTGGAGAAATCCGCGTGGGTTCGAACCCCACAGCTGACATGTGTTACTACCTTGTGCGAGGGAACTCGATGAGGTCACACGCTAATATTGGAAGATCTACAACCCACGAGCCTGCCGTGTGCTTGAAGAATATCGATATCTAGTCAGTTTGGCCGAGTGGTCTAAGGCGCCAGACTCAAGTTCTGGTGGAGAAATCCGCGTGGGTTCGAACCCCACAGCTGACATGTGTTACTACCTTGTGCGAGGGAACTCCATGAGGCCACCCGCTAATATTGGAAGATCTACAAACCACGAGCCTGCCGTCTGCTTGAAGAATATCGATAGCTAGTCAGTTTGGCCGAGTGGTCTAAGGCGCCAGACTCAAGTCCTCGTGGGTTACTAAACCCTGTGGATGATCTAAAAAGATGGAGTATATCAAAAACAACCCTTCTCAAGCAGCCCAAGTCACCCCTCCCACCGGCTTCATCGAATTGAGCCACCGCCATCCCTCCCTATCATACCGCTCCCCCTGAATTTAGTAAGACCCTGAACTTCAGGACGTTGTGTTCACTGATAGTGATTCAGAAGTCTACTTCGGGCCCTCCAGCGGCATTTGAAGCCAGTGCTCGCCTAAATCACAGTCAATATCGAACCACCGCCCCGGCCCCTCCTTATCTTATCCCCCACTGCATTGAAGTCAACAAGAGACTTTTGTCAATACAACAATATGAGGGCGTACGACTCGCCAACCTATGCAGCATAGATAGTAGTGAAGTACAGCACAGACTACGCTTTAATTCAATACCCAATATACCACCGACTCAAAGAATCCACCCTAAACCTCATGGACGTGCGAGATCACTGCTGTCCTCACTCCCCCAAAAAAGAGCCCATCAGGTTTATTACAAACACAGCAACCAGGTCGTTACGAAACAGTATCATTAAAAAGGCAGTTCACTAGCCTTTTAAGTACTCACAAACCACAAGCAATCATCGATGCGTATTACTCCTCATCTACAAGGAAATCAATACGGAACTTCGCGAGTGACCACAGAACTTACCAGCCGGCTTCTCAGGCTTAGCCGCCGCCATAAGAGTATTGATTTCATCATCAGACAACATTCGGAAGGCAACCTCCTTATCCTTATTCAAGGTCAAAACGCCGAACTCGACTGAAAGTGCATCGATCGCATCTCACATGAGCACCGGTCCACTCACGAGTCTCAGCGGTCGGCGTGGCGGTGTCCATGGACTTCACCAACACCTTTGCTACCAAGTCCAAACACTCCTACACCAACCAACACTGAGATGATAAAACGTCGAATGCGAAACTCACCTTAGTAGACATATCCTCATGCCAGTCAGTTTTGAGGATGCCCTGTGCCGTCTGGTTATTCACACCGATAGCCGTGGCCTTCCACCCACTCAAATTGCCCGAGGGGTCAGTGTGGTATCTGAACGAGCCTTCAAGTCGTAGGGAGCAACAACAACACTTACAATTGGAAACCGTAATGGTCGTCATAGCCAGCAAAGAGGAAGGATACGCCGAAGGGACGCAGACCGCCGAATTGCGTGTACCTGTGATGCAAGAAAGTGACGATTTCAACACCTGTGATTGGCAGTGTGGGAAAATATGCACATGGGCAACTAAGTGAGGAAATTCTGGGAAATTCGTGTTGGTTTCCGAAACACTTCTTCACGAGTTCGTATATAATCTCCCACAATTAGTGAGGAAACTCCTGAGCTGGAAAGCGAGCATATATTCCAACACTGGACTTACTGTTGTTTCACATCGCATATACTAGTCACCAACTTTTCCACTGGTACTGGTTCTTGATACGAATATCGATACCTACAAATACCTCTACTGCCAGCCGTACCACCACTTACACTACCTTTGAGCTGATAGTCGCAGTTGATTGATAAGGACATTGGCATCACTCGTAATACCAGCGACCGCACATACGACATGATCATCAATGGGGTAAATCTTCTCACTTGCTTTACCCGACTCTAGGAGTTTACTGCCACAAATCGACGATTCTCAACTGCCTTCAGACACTGTACGCACGCACATATTATTGGTCACGATCTATCTCGCTTCGCCAAAATTTTTACCATCGTCAGTTCGCTTCAAGAGATTCAATTTTACAACCGCTCTAATTCTTTCAGACTTTGATCGCGCAAGGTCAACCAACACCAACAACAACGGCAACAGCCTCCTACCTGATGGTCTTCTTCTCGCCGGCCAAGATCACACACTGCTTTCCGAGTACTCCTACTGTTGAGCCAGCATTGTTGATCGCCTCCATCGCATACTCCACCTAATCGATAATAAACCGTCATACTTCCGAGCACCCAAGTGCTACCTGATAGAGCCTTCCCTCTGGTGAAAAGGTAGTAGTGCGACTATCATATCGACGGGCCATGATGGCTTCAGAAATTGCCAAAACTACTGCGAGAAGGTACGTAACAAACCTTCATGGACGATGCAAACGCAATAAGAAATTTCCAACCACATCGAAACTACTCATCGTCATCGTCATCATACCCAAGACACTTGCCCACGGGCTGATAATTATTGTCGGAATAAATCAAAGTCAGACTGAGAGCATCAATTGTGGATTTACATTATGCGAGATTCGAACTGCGAATCATTTATGCATCATCTCGGGAACCGAATGATTCATTGATTTATTAAAGGCTCTAACCTTCGACGTTTATGAGACATCACCATCAGCGTGGACAGATACGCACATGGATGAATACATTTGTTGTTGACAGTCTGAAAATCCTGAGGAATTTCTCAGAGATTTTTCGCGGGGTTTCTATACCCTTCCTCTCGAGTTCGTAGTAAATGAGGAAACTCCTGAGAACAGCTGAGGGGAGCGAGCATACATCCCAACACCAACACTAACCGATATGCTCCAAACTGGCTCAGTCTTCAGATTCACACATGGACGATGCTACTGCCTTTCAACAGGAGTGGCTATAAATACTAACAATATGCGGTGAAATACTCAAGAGAAACTCTATGAGCCCCTGCGTATTCGCTCCAACCGTATACGCAGTTTCTCATAGGCGATATCATCAGCGGTAACAGGAACATCATAACCCGACGGATACCCTTGCAGACGAGGCGTAGCTGTCGCGTCCAAGCCGCACTCGTCCGACTTCACAGGTGTGTGCGTGGTGGTAGTCGAACTACTAGTAGATCTGCGGGGCGTGTCGTTGGGCAGAGAAGTGGTAGAATTCGATACTCGTTTTTTCAAATGTGAGGGTAGAGGCGGAGCGAAGCGTGATGCAGGCGGGGTTTCATCACCATCGAGATCTGACCAGAAATTTCATCACAATAGAATTCCACCAGTACCAAGGCATTACTCTGTTTCACAATCGACCTCCTATAGGTGATAGTCTCCGAGCCTTCCCTATTGCCATCTTCCGATAAGTCCGCAGCCACAAGCGATGGAGAGCCAGCAGAGTTATCTAACGACGACCCAACTGTCCATGCAAGACGACTCTCGTAACACTCACAAATCGAGGCCCGCACACGAGCTGACATGTCCGGTGGTCGCCTGCTGTCTACTGGCCGCAACCACAGAATCTGGGAATGCACCACCAGTGTATGACCGCTTTCCTCAGCTGAGCCAAGGAGTTATATAAATTTACCCTCGAATTCGGAAAGAAATGTACAGGATCCTGTAACGATTTCCCAAAATTTTCTCACAATTTCCATATTGTCACCAACACACGTACTAGACCTCACAAAAGGCCTTGTCACAGGACCATGCCCACCTTGTTCTCAACAGCTATTCTCTCGATAACATCAAACACCTCATATCGCTTGGGCTGATACACAGCCACGAGAGCTGACCAACAGCACGTTCATTATTTCTCATAGAGATAGCACTCCCATATTACCAACAAAGTTTTGGTCAATGCCACGTGTCCAGCTATCATGAAATGGCTTACAGAACTTCTCGCCAAACTTGAGGCCCAGTTGACGCCGAACCTCTACGAGCTGCTCACTACCCGGCAAGTCTAACAACACCTCAGCCGCGTATACAATAGTGCCAACTGCACAAACGAGGTCCGACGGGCACGCCTGAGACCAGCATACCTCCTCATAGACCCTCCCTTACTACCTTCGAGTCGTTCACCTCCGCCATGCGCTCATACAGGAGCCGACACTGCATGGCGAGATGATCATATGCTTTCATTTGCCTAGGAATCTGGCAACACCTACCAGCTAGTGTCTGCGCAGCTCCCTCTCTCTGAAGGCGATCGAGCGTAAATTTAACACTCCACCCTTGCCACGTACCTCCGGGAGTAAATCTCGAATTTGAAGTTCTAAAGTGGCCATCACTTTCCGCAGTTTCTCAACCTTCTCCACCAGTGCTTTCTCCAAGCCCTATAGAGAGACCACGAATAACACGACCAGCAGCCCAACGTGTTTTACCCGGAGGCGTGTCTCACAGCTCTGTGGGTTGTAGCGGGAGAAGAACGGCATATACAAATTTGAAAAAAAACACTACCACACCCTGAGCAGATAAAATGGAGTTTCACCCGTGACATGAAAACCACTAGTGAAAAATATATTTTACATTTGCCTTCGCGAAAAACACATATGAGCAGTGAATAACGCGTAAAGCACATGATGTTTTTTACGTATATTTGTCCGGTGTAGTTCGCCAAGAATTTTCAACTCACTTAATATCGCGTCCTTCCTATGAAGTTTTACACAACTTCACGTAAAACGGGTGAAGTTATAAAGCCAGCAGTTATCAAAATACGGCCACCACAACAACACCGATCAGCATAGCGGAAAAATGCAGTATGCTTCTATAATGGTACCACCCATCTACGACCACCAAAAATCCGTTAGAGGTGACAGCGGAGCGACGCACAGGTCACACTATGAATCCTTCAGTTTATTAAATCTCTGCAGGAGCTCGTCAAATTCAGCGTCCTCGTTCTCTCCTTCGCTTTTCTTGTCGGCAGACAACCGCCCCGGTCCACTCGTCACACGTGACGGGCCTAGTAAAAATCCTCTTCGACAATTCAAAATGAGTAAAAACACTGAATGTCTGTTTTGTAAGGTTACATTATGAGAATTTACACACGATTTCTGATAATGTTCAAAATCCAATGAGAATTCCCCCCAAAAGATTTTCAGAATTTTCATATTGTCACCGACACATGTAGTTGCCCATGTGCGTATTTTCCCCCTCCCCCACACTAACGTTGAGATCCAGAAAAACTATAATCGTCTAGCATTGCTCTTGAGACGAGATCATCGCAACCTACTTGGTTTCCTGTTGCTATTGACCGATGTCCGAGCCGGCCGAAACACATCATTCTCCTCCTCCTCGTCCTCGCCTGGTATTTTCTTACGGAGTGACGGAGGCAAAGGCGGCGCGAAAGGGGACGGGCTGGGAATGCTGGGCCGGGAACCTGGACCATGCGAGTGGACAGCACAACGACAAGTTATAGTATTACTCGTACGACGTGAAGCACCATGCGAGCTGGTCTCTGACGGGGCCTTACCTGGTGAGGCGTGCCCCGCGGGCTCGGAGTCTAAAAAGGGTTAGTGACATTTCATCATACGTATTTGCATCTTACGTGTTTTGCTAATGGAATCCTGCTCTTTTGCCAAGTCGTCAAATTCAATTTCGTCCAATTCTGGATTCGCCACAAAACCGCTAGTGTCCTTTTCCGGGCTCGAAGCCGACTCCGGTAAAACTGACAACTCCCATAGCTTCGCTCCGCCAATCGACCTGCGGCCTTACCAGTAGGTTCACTCGCACTAGGAGAGACCTGCTGTTGATTCTGCGTAATATTCGCGAGCGGGGTCGTTGATATCGGGGAGGGAGGCAAGACCGAGACATTCAACGTTCCAGGAGCCGCAGCTAACTTCTCCTCAATACTTGGCGGACGCTCCCATTCCACCTGAAAAAGGTTTCCAGGCAGCAACACATCTGGCTCACATCAAACTTGGTGGCTATCTCTTCTAATGCATCTAGCACCATATTCTCGCTCGGCGGTGCTATGGTCAGAAGGCCTAGAGAGAACAGACCATACCATAATTCCCTCACATCGTCTTCTCATATTACCCACAAGCTTTGGAGCTACATCTTGAGTGGAATTATCTATATGTTGTTGGCACCAAGTACGACCGTATTTCAAGTCGAACTGCCTCACACAGTTGGCCATCTCTGGAACCGTCAACCGCTTCTCCGCATAGATTAACGTGGCGACCGGACAGATAAGGTCGGGCGGGCATTCCTTTAAAACGCATCATAACAACACTCTCTAGTCTACTATCACCTTCGACTGATCGATGTATTGGATTCTCGTATAAAGCAGCTCACAGTGCGTTTCCAGGATATCATAGGCGCTCTCTAATTTCTGATTAGCGATCAACTGCTCAGCCTTAATCCGAGCCTTTTCCTCTCGCCCCTATAGAGCCACCACGATAGACTAAGGGGATTCACATCCAATCATACTACCTGTCGGAGCATCTCCGCTATCTCACGCTCTGCCACCCGCTGAGACTTTATCACTTTGTTCCGCTGTAGTGTGCACCGTTTGCCCGCCAGCTGAAAAAGACCAATCATCATAGGGCAGGAAAGGCGAGATGATTCCACCTGCAGGTTAGCCTTGCATGTGGAAGCTTTCCAGCGGTCGAAAATGCCCATGACGCTCTTCTTGAGAGAAGACATCGAACGAACGATCCACTGGAAAACTGCACAACTCGAAGATACCGCGAGGGTGATTCGAACCTGGGTCTCAGCGAGCCATTGTTTCGGTTCAGCTGAACCTATTCCAAGCTGGCTCGATGAGCATTGTAAGAAGGCGTCATACGAGCCTAGTAGTTAATGCATAGTAAGCTCTTGTGAGTGTAGTTCGACCAAATCAATTCGCACATTTCCACGACTGATCGATCCGTTAGAGAACTGCAAGAGAGCAAGATTTTCGATATCTGCACGTGTGACGAACTTGTTGGTCCGTCCGCCATGAGGGTCGGTATCAGGGTGAGTATCCATATTGAACACGACGCACACCAGATAGAAGAGGTACAGATAGTAGATCAGATAATAGGGAGCCGATGACCAGAGGGAGCGTATTACAACTCAGCGGATTACTCGATAGCTTGATTTCCCGTTGGAAACGCCTGACACAGCACCGGACACGACGACTAGAGTGTATGCACTAAACCGAGCAGTTACCGACGAGATGATCAGTATGCCAGTCTTCCCAATATTTGTCCGATGTTGTCGATCATATTTGGTATCCTCGTCTGTAGCGCTTCCTCCCCCGGATCCTCGAAATCTAACTCGGTAATGAACCTGAGACCAGAGAGATAAACTTGGAGGATTATTAACTTTTCCTTATGAAATATATGAACCAATACGTAGCGATTGTCAGTGAGAACCACGTTGTTGAGACTTACTCAAGTTGAGACACCATAGCTATAGTTAGGAATAATTCTTCCTTTAATGCTCGATCCTCTATTGTGATGCGTCTACTGTTCGTATATTTGTAGTACCTTCAGGACGCAATGTCTCATTACATTCATGAACTTATTCCCAATAGAGCTCCCAATACTGACCATCCGCTTATCAATGACATCGGAGTGCTCTTCCTCAAACTCCACTTTTCCAGAGAGCGCTGTAGTACAGTGAGAGTAGTCTTGAACAATTTTCGGAGACGACGGTCGCTAGTTGTCCGCGTCAATGCCAGTCTTGGTGCATCATTATCAAGTAAAGGGCTGTCAACTGCCATACCTGATTCGGAAACACAATCAGTAAAACAACTATATGACCTACATTTCAGCATCATGAGATAACATGCAGTCAACGCAACATATCATTGAATTGAGAATCATACAGTGATATTGTCTGTATGTTGTCTGTACATTGAACCACTAGATATCAAGTTGTTTGCGGCATCTTTCTCGGATCATATGGTGTAATCGACAATCATGTTTCCCCCGGCAGTGCGATGATTGCAATGATCATTCTTATGACAACTAGGATATTTCATACGGATGAATGAAATGACTTTTCCCATGCCTTGAATTCGTTTGTAGTCCGTTTCACTTAAATTTCCCGTGAGGGGGGCGGGGTAGTGGCTACAGCAGTTGCGTGTGCGTGCGCGCGCGCACGCGCGCGCGGGTTGCATGAGCCTGAGGGGCCGGCTTCAACATTAGTCATGTTGCGCTTCGAGCCTAGCAGTCCCAGGGACAGGTTGGCCGTCAGCTTTGCCTCGTTTTTCTCCATGTCTAAGAGGCAAATACCCATCACTGGGTTCCTCGCTAAACGCCCTCGAACTGGCGCCCCCGAGAATACAGAGCCGAAGCCTCAGGAAAGCCACGAAGATGCGAAATCTTCCTCTGATTCAGCGAGCGACGGTGAGGCCGGAAATGGTAACGAAGAGACTACCGCCCCTACTGCTTCTGTGCCACTCAACTCGATGGATCCTGAGTGCGACAAATCATCGGTCGGAGTTCCGGGACTCTCGCTGTTAAAGCGGGATGGCCCCACGCAGCCCAAATGCTGTTTCGACAAGGTCGGCGGGCGAGCTTTTGTTGCTGCATGGTACAAGAAGTTTCCCTGGATTGAGTACTCGGAAGCGACGAAGCGCGCCTACTGCTATCCCTGCCGCTTTTTCCGGAAGATCCCTTCCAGAACATGGTGTATCGATGGCTTCGCTCACTACAGGAAGTCAGAGCGCATTGCTGCGCATGGCGCCAGTGAAGAACACAAGGCTGCTATGGAAGCATGGTCACACTACCGAACCGAGCGTTCCACTGGAGAAACTGTTGCCACTCGGCTAGGTGAAGCTGCTCGGGCTACGGTTCTAGCCAACAGGCGCCGTATTCTCTACTGCCTCCAAGTTGTCCTTTTCTGTGCTATCCAGGGAATCGCCCTCCGTGGTCATAGCGAGGATCGGGCTGACCCTGATGACAAAACGAACTCCGGTAACTTCCTGGGGATCCTAAAGCTCGTCGCTTCTCATTCGCAGGCTCACCGGGAGCTGTTTGAGGGTCCTCGTAACAGCCGTTACTTGTCCCCCAAGGTCCAGAACGAACTCCTGCATCTCGGGTCTCAGTGGGTCAGAAAAAAAATCAGTGATTCCGTCAGTGATAGCAAGTATTTCGCACTGATATGTGATGAGTCCAGAGACAACAGTAAGACCGAACAGCTCTGTATAACAGTCCGGTATCTACGTCCAGTATCGAGTCCCAACTCGACTTCTTCTGCACCTCTGGAACTCGCTGAGAGCATTCTTATGACATCGGCCTGTGAAGCGCTCACCTCGGATTTCTTGACTGAGTTGATATACCGCGGATTGGTCGAGAACAATATCTCCGTCGCCAATTGTGTATCAACCTCGTTTGATGGCGCGGCGAGCTTCTCCGGTTCGAAGGCAGGCGTGCAAAAGCTCCTTCGAGACAGGTACGCCCCGCTTTCTATCCATGTTCATTGTCTAGCACATCGTGCTAACCTTGTTTTAACTTCTGTTTGTCGAGAAATACAGTCCATTCCGTTACTGTTCGATACCCTTCAAGAAGTATACATATTCATATCGAGCGCTGCTGTCCATCCGCAGTGGATGAATGTTCAACGCCGGATGTACCCTCATGAGCCTCCTCGCGAGTTGCGAGCGCTCAGCGAGACTCGATGGAATGCTCGCTACGAATCGGCCAACATCATGTGGCTACGTTTGAAGGGTATCTATGAATTGTTAGACTTAATCATCGATAACGATGTGCCAGATAGAAGGGCCAAGGCTGACGCGTTGAGTCAGAGGCTGGACGGGACATTCATCATCGGACTGTCGATGATGCGATGGGTCCTCCAGATCATGAGCGCCTTCACCATCGAGATGCAGAAGGTGGACTTTAACTTGTCAGATGCTATATCTCGTGCCGTTGATCTGGACAAACTTCTCCAGCGGCCGAAGGTGGGAGAGCCTGATGAGATATGGGAAGATGTTATCGTGGGTCCGGCGAAGGATATGTGCGAGGAGCTGGAGGTCGATTTCATCCCCCAGAGACCAATTCGACGCGTACGGGCTGATCATGGACCGAGGTGCGAGGCGGACTACCGCTCTATCTTCATCAAGGTCTGCGACGCTCTGCATCGGGAGATGCAGGATCGGTTTCTGGGTGAGGAGCGGCAAGCCTTGTATGACGGTCTTGACGCGCTGAATCCGGCGATGGGAGACAAGTTTCTACAAGCGTCACCTCTCATTCGCATGGCTCAACATTTCAAAATAATCTCGGACGAAAGTTGTGCTGTCTCCGGCTTGCTTGCCGAGGTGCGTACCTTACGTGACTCTCTGAATCGTGTCGACGGCAAGCCTGCCAGTTTGATGACTCTCCTACATTTCCTCAACCAACGGGAGCCCATTTTTCATAACGTGTTCCAGTTGGCGAGGGTTTGTGCAACCATACCAGTTTCCTCTGCTCAGTGTGAGCGCGGCTTTTCTGGTGTCCGTCGGGTAAAAAATTTCATGAGAAGTAATATGGCGCATGCCCGCTTGTCCGATCTAATTGTCTTGCACTTGAACCGTGAGCTGGCTTCACAAATCAACGAAGAGCAAGTCGTTGATAATTATCGTGACGCCGCGGAGAGGCGCGTAAAGTTGTAACCGCGTGCAAATATTTCGTATTGAAATAGTGGAACACTCGTTATAACCTGTGGCCAATATTTTCTGGAACCTTTTACCTATCACAATCATAATTTCAAGAACTCGTTGTCGTGTTGTGAGTAGAGTGCTCGAAGACGATTGGCAATTGTTCCTCAGAAGAAACAATTGTCATGGGAGAATCGTCCTGCCCCGGGATTCCAGATTCCTACCGTAGGAAGTCTTTCCCTCTTCTGCAGAGCGGCCCCCTTCATTTTTTACCCGCCCCCGAATGCCCCACCTCAACAAATTACCCTGGTTACGCCCATGTACCTGAAGGTAGTAAAAGGGGTATAAGGATGGGGAGAAGACTTACCGAGGTAAAACTTCCACCACGGACGTACAATAGTGAACTACCAGCATCTTGGACGGAAACGTCGAATACCGTGAAATAGTAACGCTGACATGATAAGAATAATGCTAAACGAATTGATGCGGATGGATTAACGCAAATACTATCAGCACATGACCATGTGAAACTAATACCGTAATACTACCATTAGAGATATTACCCTACATAATTACCATGAAGCGCGTTCTTCATAACCATACCAAAGCATCACCTTATCCACATTCATAAAAATGGGTTAATGAATAACTATCGGGCTCAACAAATAATGCCATCGTGGATCAATCGTATTGATTCAATAATACTACCTGGATTAGGAACTGGTGATGACGTTAGTTAGTGTCCATAAAAAACAACGACCACGAGACCAGATGTGATCAAACGTAGAGTGCGTTGATCTTGATGTATGTGACCGAATGCTTAGCAAATGCTAATGTTGCTGAACTGTCCTAGATTTCAGACTTCGACTCACATGGGGGGGCCAGCACGGCCGTAGGCCGTGCCAACAAGGCTCAGAAAACGCGGCCGTAGGCCGCGGATCACGTCACAGAATTTGCGTGCTGCGAAAATTGGGCGTGCGCGATTGCTGGTGTCAGCAGGCCCGGTCGTTGGTGACAGCTGGCCCGCATCGCCTAGTATTATACAATCTAATGTACCACTATTATTTGTTATCATTATTTCATTCTTTCAACCCTTCTTTCTTGACCATCACAAGGCTGCCGTCTGAGGAAGGCTGCCAAATGCGGCAAGAACAAAAACATCTACCACAACATAATTATCACGCGTACCCCCACCGCAATGACTCTCAACAGTATTATCACCAATAACACCACTACTAAAACCAGACCAGAGGGCGACCACTAATATAACGACAACCACGCACGGCGACTACAAACAACCAACAGCACCAACAACAACAACAAGAACGACGACACCCACCACCACTACAAGAAGAAACGACAACCTAATTACAGGTAGTACTACAACATCGACCGCAAGCGTGATTACTACCAACATTGCCTGAACAACGACCTCAACTACAATACTACAGTCACAATCAGCACCACAAGCACATCAATCCCCATTGCAACAAGAACCACGGCACCGAGTCGGTGCCACCGACTACCATCAGAAGAACAAACAACATCCCAAAACATAACGACTACTACAACTTCGACCTACTATTATTCCGCACTCTGGAGTCCACACTCCACTTCCAGAACGAACCAGTTGCAAAAATACTCAAATTGCAGGAAGTGCATGGCAACTTTGCCCTCCGTAGGAGCTACAGATCCCCCGGAGCGAAGCAACGGGATCTGCTAGTACTCATAATGCATGCCGACTCGGCATTGCCGAGTATCATTCTCAAGGATATCCGAAGCTTTTCATATCAATTTCATATCTTTGCATATTTTCCCGCCGTGGTTCAATCACAGTGCAATCACGAAAAATGACAATTTGCCATTTTTCGATGTTCATGAGAATCATCACTGCCATTCTTTTTTGCGAATATTCGGATATCAACGAAAAGGAGTATCTTGTCATGACATGACAGTCATGTCATGTGACACAAATCCGCGGATCAACCGATGTAGTTGCTGCACCCATGTCCATATCCATGGGTTCACACATCAATGTTCACTCGGCCACGCATAACATCGTGCCTCAAGACCTCATGAGCCACGCAACACAGAAAAAATGAAAAAGAAATGAATGCATGTTAATTCACGTCTCAGCTATCGAGGAGCCTTCACCCATCACAGTACCTGTCAAGAGCGAAGAGTGCCCTCGGAACTCAGAAGGAAGACACTGCCGACTGTCATGACAGTCCGCAGAGAAGAGGACTCCTCTTAGAGGAGGGAATCAGCGTTACTTTCTGCCCCAGCCTGCGCGTTAGGAGTATCGTTGACGCCGCGAAATAACTCTTCGCGAATGCGAAAATATCGTCCTAAGTAGAGCACAACATCAAGGTCGAGGTAGAAGATCCCCGTCTGAAGCAAACTGTGAGACCATGTTTCCGCGAACCGTTTGAGTTCCAGGCTAGTCTCGCAGTTGCCGCATGGGAACGCGAAAAACTAATGAATTTCTATTCCGAAGTGAGTTGCGTTGCATCTACGTAGTACGTAGTACGCACACTCCGCGAACCGAATGACTATCTACCACGGCAAGAAGCAGAGCACAGAGAAATAGACTCAATCAGTTCTCGTCGATTAGAGAAGGCCACTCAGGAGTCCATGGGCGTCACCGCCAGCCATAACGTTACAAGCACATAGTGATGCGCACCGGCAAGCTTTGGTTCTAATTACCGGCTGGTGCAACAGGTTTGCAGCAATAAAATCGTTCAGGACTTGCCTCAACTCGGGATGAAGTCTCAGATACTCCTCATGCTCGTCTCGCAGCTCTTCCTGCAAATAAACACATTATGGCCCAAGATGTTCTTCTGAGGCGTATTCCCACCTCTCTCTCACAAAACACCTGGCGTTGTTCGCAATTGAGACCTTCTAATGGCGATACCGCGTCTTCCGGGCCGACCATTAGAGGTAATTCGCCAACTTCACCTTAACCGAGCGCATCAATTTGGGTTGGCAAACACAACACCTCGAGAAGTGGAGAGAGACGAATGAATGATGTGTTACAACTCATCCGATAGAGAAGGATCCCCTACAATTGTGAGGGAAGGGTAACTATTAGAGAGCGAACGTATAATGTAATCCCATTCATCAAGTATTCTATGAGCTACCGTAGCTACAGCTACGAATATGAGAGTGAAACATGGAGGGATACCATTATGAACGATTCTGTTTCTGTTGATGTATAGCATTAGATCAGGAGCAAAGTTATAGATATACTCCCCCAGTAGAAGTTCGTATTTTGAGGCGCAATTTAAACACGTATATGCTAAGAATATGTGGAGAAAATTTTTCACCAATCTTCGACTTCTCACTAACTACGAAGAGTTAGGCCCTGTAACTTGGGGGTCATATCAGGTAAAGCATAAGTACATACCTTCCTGAGCCGCAAGATGATGCTCGTTGTGGTGTCTGTGCAGGAGTCGAAAAACCGGATATGCTAAGAATTTGTGGAGGGGTGTAGTCGTGCCCGATTGTGAGCAGCCATCAGTAAGTAGTTTCACCATGATAATGGCAAGCCCTATACTTCTATGAGAGTAACCTTTTTCTCAACTTTCAGAATCTCAAAGTTTCAGAGCTCGGTACTAAGAATAGTTATAGAGCCTATTGTTCTACTACGTCCTCCATTAGCGCTGTATTGACCACTCAATTCGCGGTCATCAAACTGATGTCTATTATTTACTCTTGCGCGGCAAACCCCAATAATCGCGACGCCCCGCGAGATCCATTGACCACCAAAACACTATTCGATCATATCGCCATCGAAACTTCTAGTAGGCGCTAGTTGACTGCTAGCTGACGGCAAGTGCTGTGCGCAGTGATCCTTACTGGTCCAAGCCAGGCAGTCGGAAAAAAGAGCGAGAAAAAATGCAGTGGACGATTGCACTACCGGCAAGATGAGCTCTTGCCCGGAGGTAAAAATTTGGCCGTCGGTTGACTTCAACTGAGCAGTGGAAATATACGTACGTCTGTGATCGTTGTTCAAGCAGCTTTTCCCAGGACGTGGTTTTCCTGTAAAAGTGGTGCCGTCGCGCCTTCCTTGGCAGCGAGGCGTGCGCTCCTGCGAGCACCGAGGTTTGCTGAAAAGGAAAACTTCAACAACCTTTGGCGATCAAAGGCAGTGTTGGAATAATGTTCGCTGTACTCAACTGAGCTCAGTAATTTTCTTACTAATCACAGGAGTCTCTGGAATTTACAGAATCCAATGAAAATTTCCTTAAATTTTCTCTGAAATTTCATCACCAACACATGTG